TTAGATTCTTTTGACATTTTATTTTCTTATGGAAACCATTTACACAATTCATTGCAAGGTTAACTTCTGTTAAAGTTGCCTTTAATATGTTTGTCATTTTCATATTTATGATTTACTACTTCTATCAATCTTATATTTGTCCTTGTATCAAATACTGTTGTCATATTTTGGCTGGTATTTCTATTGATACTTTTTTAACAACAACAAACTTCTGTTTGTTATGATGGTATAAGGCTTTCACTTATACCATCATAACAATTGATTAAGGTTGATTATTTTCTTACTCCCAGATCTTAGGATTCGGTTTCTTCAATTAAAAAATCCTTCCAAGGTTACAAATTCTATTAATCATATTTTTTTAGATTCATTTTAATTTGATAAATTTAAATACAGTTCAAATTTTTCTACAACTAAAAACAACTAAACAACTAAAAAAAAATTAATCTTTTTGTGATAATGGCTGATCATTATAAAATTGTTATGCTTATAACTACTTTTGTCATAATATTATAAGGTTAATCTTGAATCTACTTTTTGAAGAAACATTTTGTTAATGATGGAATAAAATGTTTCAGATATGGAAAATCTGGACACATTGCATGATTTTGTTTGTTGCATAAGGGGGAATCAAATAAGAATTGCCAATGCTAGCTGTTTCCCTAACAACTAACAGCGCTTCCAATATGCAATGTGTAGGTGAACGCGTTTGCAAGAAAAGCACTGGTTGACAGTGGATGGACTCAAACTATTATATTAAACAACATGGCTCAGAAAGTCAGAGCTCGAATCAGTAGAAATGAACTAATGGTGTTAGCTGTTAATGGAGAATTTGTGAAAACGGAGGGAGAAGCTACAGTAACATTGATTATTGAAGGAAAAAAACTAAAAACATCACTACTGGTTCTAAAAAGTGTTGTCAACGGTATTGATGCTGTTATTTGTATGGATGTCGTTCGTCACTGTGGAGGAGTGCCCTTGTACAATGGAAAATTGAAATTGGTTTTGTTTCAATTTACACAGAGAAACAAACTGTTGGTATAAAGAACAAAGATTTTGATGTTTATTTTGAGGTCAAAGTGGACCGCTAAATATAAATGGAAACATAGTGAACTATAACTGAGGAATTCTGTCGCGCAGTACAAGATAAAACCCTAGTTAATACATCAATTTTATGAAGAGATCAACTCATTGGTGGAAAATGGCTGGTGAAACCATGTAAAAAAGATGAAAAAGTACTGAAGAGATTTTCCCAATAATGGCAGTTAAACAGGAAAACTAAGGAAAAATACAACCTGTCTTGGACTTTCGCAAGTTAAATCAGTACCTTAATGAATTAAGTTACTGATTTAACTCGCGAAAGTCCAAAACAGGTTGTATTTTCCCTTAATTAATATCTCAAGTTATGCATGTGATGAAAAAGTCAAAAAATAGAGAACTGTTGGTGCAAAATTTGCAACGCTTGATCTCAGATACACACATACACATTAATTCAATTTTGTAGGAGCATCAGAGGGTAGTCAACAAAAAAAGAAAAATACTATCTTACATGCCTTGATTTTGAGTTAAATTCTGCCCCAGAATTATCTGCAGTTTTATAAAACATTATAGTCAAGGAGATGCTTAGGATAATCTAATCAGAGATCAAGCTCAGTCATGGTTGATTGAAATATTGTGCTGATTGGAAGTTAATGATTCTGTGAGAGAGAAATAGAATGCTAAAGGGATTTAAATGGAGCAAAATTGAGGTATGATGCAAGTAGCATTGCAATTGGAGTTTCTATATCTTAATATATTATAATTGAGGATGCAGCCTGGCTTCAAAGTAATAATGATATTGTCCATATTAATATTGCTGAGTTAGATACTGTGGTGTGTGGAATAAACCTAGCCACTATATGGGATATAAACAACCTTTCAGTATTCACTGATTCAGTAACAGTTCATGGATGGTTAAGAAGTCTGCAGACTGAAAGTCATAGGGTTTGATCTAATTGATTATCAGAAATGCTTATTAAAAGAAGACTTTCTCTATTGCAAGACCTAATAAAAGAATTTAACACGAACATCATGTTGACAAGATTTCTAAGGACCTGGTTAAATAAGCTTTCACAAAGAAATACTAAAGAACTATGTAGAGTAAATATTGCAGAAGAAATTCATAAATGTCACTCAAAGCATCATTTTGGCATTAATCAGACAATGTTTACAGTGAGATGAAGACTTTCGCATGTATTAAGAAAAGACATTAAAGAATGTGTGTGTAAAGGCTGTCAATTTAATTCAATTGATCCATCACCAATAAAATGAGAATATGGAGTGCTAGATGTACCAGATACATGGTATCAAATTACTTGTGATGTGACTTACTATAAAGAGTTGCCATATTTAACAATGATTGACTGTTGGTCTGCAGTTTGGAGAAAGTTGCCTCACTGATGCAAAGTGCACTTCAGTTTAGAAAATTGATACTGTAATTGATATACCAACAAACACAAATATTGAAATTGATGGTGTACCGAGACATGTGTAAGATGTGAGAATAGCTCCTGCCTCAAATTTTACAAATGTTTCAAGTAAAAGTGTTTTAGTGAAGAGGCTAAGAGTGATAAAAGTGATTAAGAAGATTTAGGTATTTTTGTTGCTTAAGATGAAGAAATCAAAGGAATAGTTGTTGACGCTGAGGAGAAAACTGATTAAATGAGGGTTATAAACTATCAAAGATTTCTCTGCTTCCTGAGGAGGAAGCAGAAAAATCGCCGATAGTTTATAACCAGGCATCAGACAATCAACCAGAGAATGGTGAAAGCCAATTTAAATAATTATGTTACTTAAGAACTTTAGTTCTTAGGGAGATGTGATAATGGTTGATCCTTATGAATATTTATTATTATGTATATAACTATTTTTGTCATAATAATATCAAATTATTTGATGTAATTTATAACTGCTAGTCATAAGCTATTTGTATAAAACCTTATTTTTGTATATAATTACTATTTTTGTATATAATTACGCCCTCAAAAATTTTTGTTTAAGTATAAAAGTTGTAACTTGAGTTTAAAAAGAACAGAGTTAAAATAAAAGTAAATAAAAGCTGTTGTATTAGCACTTTTTACTGCAAAAAAAAACTAAAAACATATAAAAAACAACAACTAAAAGAACGGTAACATTTGATGATCATAATAATCTTGACCTGATGATTATCGAACATATTACAGAAAAAAAACAACTGCAAAATACTACCTGAACAAAATAACAAAACAAGTTACTGGGACATTTTACTGAAAAAAGTAACCGGAAATATTACTGAAACAAAACAAAAACAAAACAAATTTAACTAAAAAAATAAAGCTTCTCAATAATTTGTCTGTTTTTATTACTAATTAATAATATTAAAAATACAACCAATGAATAAATGTTTCAGTACCAAATAGTATTCACACATTACCACCATGACTATTTGCTTTTTAACTTTACTTTTTCTTTATTTTTATTTTTTTATTTTTGATTAAAAATAGAAAAAATAATTTTCAGCTTTAAATGCAATAATATATAACAAATTTTCTGTTCATTTTAGTTAATTTTTTCTTCAGGACAATTTACTTATTATGTGATGTAACTAGTTTAACATTTAAAACCGTTATTCAGTTACTAACCATTTGCTAACACGGTTACTAACCGCACATTAACTTTAAAATGAATGTTGCTACAAAACTTAATTTAAAAACTTGCTTTGAAATTTAAGGAAAATAGAATGAAAATTAAGGAAAATTTTGTTTTTTTTGAAAGATAGAACAATTTCAAAATATCCATTCAGAGTGACGATTTGTTTATTAACAATTAAGATTTAACTGTTTTTGATAATAAATGAACAAAAGTAAAAATTTCTTAATAACGATAAAGTTAAACTTTTGAATAAACTTTTGATCTTGAGCTCACTATTTTATTTTATATTAGGAAAGTGAAAAGTGAAAAAAAAACTTTTCAGAAATTTTTATTTCTTTTCCATATTTTTTTTTAACTTAATAATAAAAAATAATCAACAGCTTCATAAAAGTTGAATTAAGATTTAGTTATTTTTAATGTTTTTTTTTAATGTCTTTAATATTTAAGAAAATCCATAGTAAATGTAACATTTTTTAATGTTAATTCACATCCCTAAGGTCATGAAGACTACTACAATTGATTATTCAAATGTGTTACAACTCTCTCTTGCAATTCTTTAACTTGGTAACAAAATCCTTGACAAACAAGGCTGCTGCACAGAGAAACAAGTTTGAGCACAGTATATCAGGGACCTGGTGGCAAACAAACTTGGAAATTCTCGCTTATGAGGTGATAGCTCTACCACTACACCTTATTATTTACCTACGCATTATTTATCATTTGCAATTTTTAAACTATACTTAATGATTAAAAAAATATAGTATATTATTTTTAATTAAAAAATATAACTTTTTTTTTAATCATAAAGTATACCATGATTATCTCTTTAATTTAAAAAGCACCTTAAAGCACTTTGAAAATTATTAACCTTTAGTAAAAGTTAAATGAACAGATTTGTAATATTTGAAACAAAATTAAAATAATACTAAATATGTTTATTAAATATTTTTTGTTCTAACATATATTGTCTATAAAATTTATTATATATAGACAAAACTATTTGACTACAAGGCGTGAGCATAATTACTATTATGTTAATTTTGTAAACTATTTCGCAATTTAAAAATACTGATTAAAAAGTTGTATAAAGTATATAAAACATTTAATAACTACGAAAATTTAAATTACTAAAATATAATTACTTAATGTTTAAAATACTTTAAACAATTTTAAATAAATATTTACATATAGTATTTCCAACTTGAAATACAAGACACTGTTTTAAATCAATTCTCATATCTTCGGATAAAATTAAATCTTAGTAATTTTATCCACAGAGTAATAATTAAAAATCATAGTCACAGAACATAAACAATGTATATATATATATTTACCTTTGTTAGGAAAAAATGTAAGGTTTTCATTTTGTTTCAACACAAATGGGGCTTCCAAGTTTATCATGTTAAAGTCAGCATTTTTAAAATATTTTGCAACATACTTCAGAATCTCAGGATAAGGACAAGATGATCCAGAAGCCACACGAATTGGGGAATCAAAACTAATATCTCCCCCAAATATAATATCAGCTTCAAACTAAAGAGTAAAAATATTAGAAATTTTTTTCCACACTCAGCATAAACTTTTAAAAAAATTATTTTAATATTATTCTTAGATTTATAATAAATGATAAAAGAAGAACTGTATACCTCTTTTAGAAGAGCCTTTCCAATAAACAATAATAGGAAAACTAAAAAATCAAATATTGATAAATTGATAAAATTTGTTGAGTTATATTAACTGATTAAATAAGGTAGATAAAATTGCTCAAGAAACAATTTATTAGCAAGTTGAAATAACCTTCCATCTATAAATTTTTTTTAATTATGGATAAAAAAAACAACAACAAAAACACCTTCAAAATTTTATTTCTTTCAGATGTATAACTTATAGATAACTAAATCTAAATCAGCTATTTAATAGACTATTAGAACAATGATAAACCTGGTTAAGAGTACATTATTCACAGTTTCTCCCCACTCTTACATTTTAACTGTTGATTAGTCACTCTAATCACTGCATAATGGCTGCACAATAGCAAAAATAGTAAAATCAATAGTAAAATTTTAAGAAAAATTACTTTGACAAGACTAACTGAAAACTACTTTAACAAGATCAACTGAATGACAAGGCAAAAAAAAAAAAAAAAAACACTTGATAGTGATCAATTTTTTATGCATTAAATAGTTTTTTTACAGCATTAAATAATAGGGCACTCTAGTGCTCTATATTCTAATGCTGTGAGATACCTAACTTTTTCTATTGTTTGTCATAAAAAAATAAAACTTAATAATTTTATTGTGTAACTTTGTTGAAAATAAACAATAAAGTTCTATAACCAAAACAACGTGTGCCGAAATTCCAAGTTGATCACAATTTCTTAAAAAACCAATGTAATAAAATTTGTTACTTTAACAATCAGGGTTTATGGCAGTTTAAGAAATTCATTTTCCCTGAGTATTCCCTGATTTTCCCCTGATTTCAAGTACTTTTCTCTTGAGTTAGGGATGTGAAAAGTAAATTCCCAGGTAATGTTGAAGGATGTAATACTTTCGTAACTGAATCCATGGTCCTTTAATATTTTTTATCAGAATTTTTTAACCAATTAGATTTTACCTTCTCTTTAATTAATTGATAGTAATCCATTATAGGAAAATTTTTTAGTAATAAAAAGAAGTTAAAAAAAAAAAATATATCCATATATATTATAATTTTTTTTTTTTTAATATATATATATATTTAAAAAATAAAAATTTGTGTTCCTTTTGAAATAAGTAATGTGCTTTATTTGCAAAATATAAACTTTTGATTAGAAATATTATTGATAAAGTTTTTTTTAGCAACTTTCTCTTTTTCTCTAAGATGCAAAAGAGAAAGTTGCTAAAAGTGCTAGCTCTAATTTCTTAATTTTGATTTTTGTTTCATAGTGTTTGCTTTGGAAATTAACCCTAGATCTTGCTTCTTCTCGACTTTCTCAATAAATTTTACAAAATCAAACAGCAACATTTCACTAGTTTTCTTCAAATGATCTCTTATTGTAATACCTTGTTGCAACATCTTTTATTTCACTAACACTTTCTTCGCCAATTGAATTGGTTTTTTTTAATATTGTCTGTGATTAAACTTAGACAGTTTCCAAATTTATTATGGATTGATTTTACAATGATGATCGTTTTGTTTGTAACTTCAAAATTTTGCGGCTGAAGATGATGACATGATTTTTGACTAAACACCTTGTAGTTATTAATTTTTCATTTAAATATTGTTCCAGTACTTCCTAACCAATCTTTATAAATATGGTGTTGTAACTAATCTTCTTAAAAATAGGTCCTATCTGAATGCCTTATATTATTTTCTTTAATTAAAAATTTATCAAAACGTATTTTGTATTTAATTTTATTCTAATTCACTCCCAACAAGGCTGCAAGCAACCACTGTTAAGTTGGGAGTTATAAGAAAACAAAAAACAGAGTTAAATAGCAAGCAAATAATTGACAGAAGACTTAAAAGTTTGTAGATTATATAAGTGAGGAAAGCATGACAATGGGAAAAAGGTCCAAAGAAGTGATATGCGAGGGAAAAAGACAGACAAATAAAAGTTTTTAGAGCATGCAGGGACAGATACAGTAAAAGGATGAGACTTTAGTGAATGAAGAGTCAAGCAAGAATAAAATTTGGTTGATGAAACTAGAGATTATAGCTCCTTTGCATGTCAACCATGATAGTATTAGTAAAAAAAAAAAGAGACGCAATCTTACAACAATTGGAGAAAGTGTCAAACTTGGCAGATAAAGCAGGTGCAACTTTTGGACCTTATCTAGAAAAAAAAAATCTTTAGAAGAACCAGCTCAAATATGACAACAGTATTCCATACAGGGACTAATAAGAGATTTTTAGAGGTAGAGAATGGAATTAGGAGAAAGAAAATAGCAAGCATGATCAAAAAAGCAACCATAGCAGGTGCTAACTTAACTAATTGTATTTATGCTTTCCATAAGAGGTCAGTAGTGAACAACAATCCAAGAAGACATAAAGAAAAGGAACTAGTGAGAGGGTTGACATTTATCAATATAGGAATGGCAACAGTATTGCAATAATTGTTTGCAGAAAATAAATGAGTTTTGTTAGAGTTAAAAATTTACAAGCCACTACAAACCCCAACAGAAGTAAGATCAGATTCAAGATTGGCTTTCTAATCAAAGCGTTTGAAAAGAGAAGACTTTTGTCAAGACAAAAGTATAAAGTTGAGATGCTGACACCAAATAAAGCAAATAAAGCCTTTTAAGTGATAAGGTTGTTAAGAAGATCACTGGTGTAGATAGGAAATAAAACAAGGCCAAGAATAGAACCTTGTGGTACCCTAGAAAATACTGAAAATTAAGAGGAGTGTTGGCCATCAAGGATGACTTTGAGCAGTTAGAAAGAAACCATTTGATAATCTCAAAAACTTTCCCAGATACTCAATGAAGCTTATGAAGAAGACCAGCATGCTAAACTTTATTGAAAGCTTTAGATAACTGTAGAGCATTAAGATATAAAACCATATTGTCAATATGGTTTTAGATCTTCATGCTCTACAGCTGAGCATTAAGATATAAAACCATATTGTCAATATGGTTTTAGATCTTCATGCTCTACAGCTGACGTACCTAATAGGCATGCTGAAATACGCATTTTTTGGAACCAAGTTTTGTGCTAAAAATCTGTTCCACATTTTTAAGAATTCGCGTTTAACCATTCAATTAGTCATTCAAGTTAGTCAATCAATATTATTGATTGTCTGATAGCAAGTTAAATGACTCAAGATAGGATGTAAGAAATTTGTTGATTAAAGATTCAAAGTTCTTGCTAATAACAGAAAGATGCTATAAGATTTATATTATATAGTTACTATATATTATAAAAGTTAAAAGCCAATGTAGTGAGCAACTATCAACAATAATAAAAACTTAAAATTTATATATTGCAAAATAAATTTATGTTAAATAAAAAACTAAAAAATATCCCTTAAGTTTTCTCTGATTTTAAAGATTTTTAAAAAATTCTTGACATTTCTGGGTATTTCTAGAAAAGTCATTGAACTTATATCTATCTTTTCATCATTTTAGTGAAGTTCATTATCAAATATAACTTCTTAGCACTTGAACTTGCTGTTATAATTCGTGATAAAGGTAAAGATTTTTTCGTTTTTTCATTGTTGTTGTTTTTTTTTGTACTAAATTAAAAAGAAAAACAAATGATTTATAGTTATATGACTTCTAATGTTTTTGATTCTTTTATAAATAGGTTTTATAGATCAATGTTTTCACCAGTTTTCAACGCAAAGTGTTACTCTATACTTAAGTCTTTAGTAGGATGTAAACACTTTACATATTTACAATGTACAAAAACTAAACTTATTTTTACATTGTTGTAAAATAAATCAAATTATAACAATTACTATTTGTTGCGTATATAATATAATATAATCATGTAAATCACTGATCTCAAAATTTAACAACATAAGTTATATTTTGAATAAAAATATAACAACATATAATTATTTTGAGATCAATAAATGTAAATTATATTTACATTCACTGATCTCAAATTTTTTTGAGATCAGTGAATACTATTTACATTCACTGATTTCAAAATACTTATATGTTGTTATATTTTTATTCAAATATAATACTATATATTGTTATACGTTGTTATATTTTTTATTGAAAATATAACTTATATTGTTATATTTGGAGATCAGTGATTTTATTATATTATATTATTTATTTAGTGATTATTTAGTATTTACTAAATAATCACTAAATAAATTATTATATTATATTATTTATTAATATAATATAATAATTTATTATATTAATTACTAAGTGATTATTATATTATATTATTTATTTAGTGATTATTTAGTATTTATTATTTAGTATTTACTAAATAAATGTTATCAAATTGATATTAAATAAAAATATTATTTATAACAACATGAATAATAATAAATATTAAATACAAATGTTATTAAAAATCTCAGAATTTCTTTTATTTTTAAGTTAAACTATGTTTCCGTTAGAGATCGGATCGGTCAGTAAAATTTAGATTGCACTTTGAAGGATAGGATTTAGTGTTTTGCCTTACCTTACATTTCTAAACTTGGTATAAAATGCTGACCGAAACGCTAAAGGTATTAAGGCGAACTAAAAACCTGACGTTTGAAATTTTACGTAAATTGATGACCGGAATTTAACAAGTTAAGTGTGCCTTGATTTTTAAAACACTTGTCAACACAATTTTTTTTAAACTTAATGACTGTCCAATTATTTAATCAGTCGATGTATGAACAATCCTTGCATATTCAACTTTTTTTTTAGTCGATGTATGTACATTCCCTGTATGTTCTACCTATTTAGACAATCAATGTATTTGCAGTACCCAAATGCACTACTTATTTAAGCCAGTCTATGTATGAACGTTTTCCTGCATGTTTTACCTATTTAGTCAATTAATGCACACTCCTTGCTTGTTATATCTGTTTAAGTCGTTTAAGTTTATCTGGTTGGTGTGCGTACACTTCTTAATTTTTAAAATAAGTAATAATATATGAATAATAAAAATTTTTATTTAACAACAATCACAGGCAATACGCATAAAACTAGAACTAAAATACTTTAAAATATAACATAAAAGTACTCGCAAAACATAAGCCAACCGAGAGGAATCGATCTGCTTCGCTCGGCACATGTATATAACTTGTTGCTTTTAAATAATTGCGTATTGTAAAAAACAAGCATATATTTGTAATTTACTTCGTTAAAAAAAATGATTGTGCGTAGCCCAGTAGGTATTTGAATATTTAAATATGTAAACTGTATTAAATTTTCAGCTTGATCAACCATAATTTATACTATGTTGGCGCAACATCATTAAATAGGCAGTTTGGTTCACCACTTTTTTGTATTAGTTAGCGCAGTAGCGTTGAATTTGTTTTTAGAATAAATGTGATTTTTTTAATTACCTGAACAAAGAGATATAGGCGTTTTTGCGTTGGTTTATGAGTGGCAAACAAATTGGTTATAAAAAATTGTGGCACTATTTATTTAGAACTGAAAATGCAATAAAGTTTAAGTAATAACAAAATTACATTAATTAGAAAGAAGAAAATCAATAATTAGTTAATGGTGTAAAATTTTTGTTCAATAGACTACTAAGTTTAATCAAAAGATTTTTTTCATAGAGAACTACAACAGATGAACATAAATAATACATACACACGCACACACACCCCAGTAAGCACAGATCGTTTTTAAAACGTTTAGAAAACGTTAAAAACCATTTTAATAGGTTTTTTAAATGTTTTAAAAACGTTCTGTGTTTACTGGGACACCTCAGGGTCGGTAACACGGGTATCAAAGTGAAGGGGTACAATCGTCAATTTCAAAAAAAGTCAACTATATCTAGAAATTTCTTTAAAAAAAAAGGTACTCAGAATAAAAGTAGGGGAGCAGTGCTCCCTTAGCGTCGTTGACTCTGCATCTACATACACACACACACACACACACACACACACACACACACACACACACACACACACACACACATATAATAAAAAATATGTTAACATAATATATTACTTATGTCTCTATAATAAAAAACTTTAATACAATTTCATGATAAATTATTTAAAATTAAAATAGTTCAACAACTTAAAAAATTAATTTACCTACCAAAGTTAATATATACCTTCATTTTATTTTAAATATACGGATAAATGAATGCTTGAACTATTCTGTTCATCAGTAATGTGAGTAATGCCGCAAATAGGGTGGTATATTACATTATACTGTTACTGCATGCTATAAAGTTTAAAGCATGCAGTTTCTTTTGCGCCAGCCAAAGAAAAAATGAAGAACTTTTGTGCAGAAAGTAATCAACGGCTTTTTATTATTAATTTTTCATTATTTTACCGACTCTAATTATTGCTTTATTAAAATGATATAATAAAAATATATATAAAATATAAAAATGGCTATATATTAAAATAATATTATAAACATTCAATTACAAACAAATTTGTGATCGGTTTTCCTGCAATTTTATTTAAATTTTTCCAAAACCGCAGAATTTTTTTAGCACAAAAAGTAAACATGCGCGTTTAAAATTGCGTTAATTATATTTAAATAATTAACAAACAAGATGTAAATGGAAATTGGGGGGGGGGGGGGGGAGGAAGGGGGTGGCTTAGGGAACCAGAATCAGAGTTAAAATTAAAAAAAAACATCAATTTTCTAAAAGTTGCTAATTCGTTTATTACATCTTTTATAAATTTAATTAATTTGCTTTTTCTGCTTCAATAGCTAATAAGCTTTATGCAAACAATCGACCTGGTTATGTTTTTTTCTTTTTTTTTTTTCCTTTTTAACATTATTTCAGATAGAGTTTTTTACTTCTATATAGCAATATTTATTGGCTATACAAGATTGGCTATACGAGTCGATACTATTTTTTTAACAATGTTTCTGATTGTCCTGTTGTTTTTAACAACACGGTCTACCTATTTATGCTTATATCAAAAAAATGTTATACGTCTGATGTGCATATTTTGTTTAATTTCATATTAATTTAGTGATTTTAAATGCATAACGAAATTAAATAAATGAAAGTGTATGCAAATATCTAAATTTCAAATTATGTATTGTTAAAACATATTAAACATATATCAAGTTTTATAGTTTGCCGCAATATCTCCTTGATTTTAATAAACTGCATTGCCGCAACATCTCCTTGATTTTAATAAAAGCTTTAATTTGCCATTTATTAAAGTAATGAAAAAAAAACTTTATAAAACATTAAAACATTTGTCTAACAATACGCTTAAGTGGCCGAAGTAGTTAACTTGTAGAGTTTCTGATGGAAATCGTAATTCAATTTCTACCACCGACATTTTTTTTTTTTTAATTTTAAAATGAAGCACTTTTGAAGTTCTATATATATTATATACATAACGTATATAAAGATATTATACACTATAAGAAACGAAAGAGAGAAAATTTTTTAAAATACTTATAAAACCTTTATAAAACCTTTTATTTATTAAATAGTTTCAAAACATTTGCCTTAGTGATTGAAGTGGTTAGGTCGCAGAGTTTTTGAAGTGCGCGATGCACTTGAGAAACTCTGCGACCTAATCAAGTATAACGTCTATCTAATAACGTATACCTAATAACGTGGTTAAAATCCAACCTGGTGGGAAATGAGCTAGCGTCTAGCGAGCATCTAGCTAGCTTTAAAGCGATTTTCTAGCGATCTTTTTTTTCTTATTTTATTTTTTCCTAATGTCTTTAACATCTTTAAAATTTTTTTGGTCTTGAGTCTATTATAATTTTGAGGATAATTGAACTTTAAACATTGCGATTTTATAACAATGTGTCGCTAGCTCCATATCGTAGCTTTGTAGCTAGCTACATAATATCTACAAATCTATAGCTAATTGATAGCTACATATTAAAATTTTTTAAACAACGACTTTATTACGATATGACGCTAGCTACAATAGCCTGTGGCTCTTTAGCTTATTAAGCTAGCTGTCTTCTTAGCTAAATGTCTGTCTTTATTTTTACAAGAATCGATAGCTTTTCGCTAACTTAAAAAAGCTAGCGATCCTCGTGGCCAAATCGCTGTCTTTATCGTTACGATTATAGCTAGCTATTCGCTAGCCGATTTCTTAAAATATAAAATTTCGATTTTTTAAAATATAAAATAAAGCATTTTTGACGTTCTATAGATATTATATACATAACATATGTAAGGATATTATATACTAAAACAAACAAAAGGAAGAGAATTTTTAAAAAAGGTTTCAATTTCTAATAACATCAAAACACCGGGAGAAACTTGTTGCGCATATGTCATGATAGAGACTTATGTTGTTAATGTGCTCACGTAATTCAGGGACGGATTAAGGGTATCTGGGGCCAGAGGCACAAATAATTTAGGGACCATTTCGACTATAAAAAAAGTGATAGACATGTAGAATTTAATATTTTAGTCATGTATTTAAAAATTAAAGTGACAGTTTCTGGATTTTTGTCCGGTAAATTGTTCAACAATGTCATCAAATGAGAGTTGTCTGGTCACCTCACTTTCAATACACATCAAAGAAAGCATATCGAGCCGCTCTTGATAAATTCTATTACGGCATTCATTTTTTATACGCTTTAATTTTCGAAAAACTTCTTTCTCCTGTACATTTTGCCACCATTAAGCTAAGATAAATTCTTAAAGCTACTGCAGCATTTGGAAAAGTTTTAAACAAAACATCATTGAACAAAATGCGGTACATCAACAACTCTTTGCTTGTTTTTTTATCATCGGAATTTATTTGTTTGACTGCGTAAGACCCAAATTGAACCATTTCCTCTGCCAAGCTGACTTAAATGTCATTGGAGTAAAGTACTGCTAAAGTATCACAATATTTTTTCACTTCCATACGAGTCAATATTTGCAAATTGTTCATGAAACCAAATCTGCTGGCCACATCTGAATATGCGACAGATATGTAAGCCAATGCTACTTTTAATTGATCGATAATAAGAATCACCACCTTAACTCGAAATTCAACATTTGCAAGCAGAAGAACTTCTTCAGAAGTACATTCATCGACATCTTTTTATATACTTCACATTTAGACAACTCTTTTCCGTATTTTTCAAATTTATCAAATTCTGTTGAACATCTCAACAATGTTGAACATCTCAAATAATGAAGGTCTTTTAAAAATAGGAGTATCAAATAATACATATCGTAAAAAAAGATTTTGTGTCTCTGGAACCATTCTGTACAATAAAGAATACAAAAAAAAAATTATAAAACAACAAAATTACAAAAAAACAAAATATATATATATATATATATATATATATATATATATATATATATATATATATATATATATATATATATATATATATATATATAAAATTTAAACTTCGAGCAGCGGAAGAGCTCGAAGTTTAAATTATAAGCTGCAAAAGCATAGGTGTCTAGCTGTCATCATAAGAAAATAAAAATTTACAAACAAACAAACAACGATTGAACATACTCAGACAATGAATGCAACAAACCAACAGCTTTATTTAAATCTAAAGTGGCACCTTGTAAAGCTAGACTTTTCTTATTGAATCTTTGCAGTATTGTGTCCCAAAATACAGTCAAAATACCAGTTTCCAATTCACCAAGGCGTTTTTCTAGTCGCCTCATGTCGAAAGCGCCTCATGTCGAGTTTCACCTTTTGTAAGTTCATCAGCTGCAATGATATCTAGAACGTATTGAATATTCTTGTAACCTTTTCGCAAAGCACTTTTGCAACAGCATGTACTGACCAAAGTGTGTCTGATAGTTTTTTAGGCGCTGATATCTTCTCTTTGGCTAGCGCTTTTGTCACGATTGTCCATCGATGAATGGAGGCACTAAGGTATGTGTAGATCCGTTGCACAATATCAAAGAAACCAACTGCGGCACTACAACAACCAACAGCATTTTTTTCAACTAAATTTAATGAATGAGCAAAGTAAGGTGTGTAAATAGCATAATTACAAACAGATAAAATACGAGCCTTAACACCGTTGTAACATCCAGACATATTCGATGCATTATCATACGTCTGACAACGACAGTTGCCAATGTCAATATTATTTTTTTCTAAGAACTCCAATAATGTATTTGATAATCCAATTCCAGTGTGACCTTATCGACGTACGATAAGTCAGCTTTTGATTTAATTGACACACTATAGTATTTTGCTTATTTTATTTCATCAACAATAAACAAAAGTACTTTTTGACCGATCAAATTAATGAGTTCATCATAGACTGTAGAAAATAAATATGATGTTTTGCCACGACCTGGGTTGCCA